TTGAGGCCATTGGAGGTGCTATCAGCGGCAGAGTTGATGATATTGGAGGAGGGTTGCGAACTCTTCTACTGGATTGAGGTCGTTCGCGACCATTTAGGTGAACTACGTAAGGCTTGATTCCTTGGGCAAGAGGATACGTAGGCAGTCATTTATGATGCAGCCGATTTGGTGAGTTGATACCGACATTTGGAGAATGTTTGCATTCTCATTTGGGTTCTCGATTTGTTGTGGATTGAGTCCGTTGTCGTGAATTATTTCACTTCGTACTGGACGTAATAAGTGAGACATTTGGTTTGGTTGGTGTCGGCTCAGTTTTGGGAAAACTTCACCGAGGTGGAGAATTGTTGGATTGAGATGAGGTGGGGGCCACAACTGGGAGCAAAGGAAAACCAAAACCGACTTTGAGGTCACGTGAATGTGAGGTCCACCTACACACATGAGATGGAGATTTAATTGTTCGTTCGTGGTGCGGCCCACAAACCGCAACAATACAAATACCCTTTTAGGGTTTCGTGAAGATGTGTGCAAGGAGAGGACCTTTTTTTTGGCTATGTTGTTTTCGGCAGAGCAGGCTTGGTTTTTGGAGAAAACGCAGCAAAGGAAAAAGGTGCAAATTTGAGGGGGTGCGGCGGCGTGCAAAGACAGAGGTGCAAAAGTGTTGGCAGCGTTTTTTTTGGGCGGCGTGCAAAGAGTCCTTTTGTGCTTTTGAGAGAGATTTTGTGTGAGGGATCTGAGAGTTTGTGAGAGGGTTTAGATTGTGAGATTGTAAACCCTAGTTGTATCTCTCCCTCTAATAGTAGATCTTCCCCTCCTTGCCCCGTTGATGTAGGCAGTTTGCCGAACCACGTAAAACTTGTGTGATTTGCTGTTTGTGGCAATTGTAATAGTTTATTAGGATCCCTCGACAGGTCAGTCCTAGAACTGATAAGAGGAAGAGCCGATATCTCACTTTGTTGAGATATTCGCTTCAGATTCTTGTTTCCTTGGTGAGACAAGAATTCTTATTGATCTTTCTCTCTTATTGTGCACCAGAAACTCTGCCGAAATTTCCGCTGCGCACAATAAACTTGACCTCCAAGAAAATTAAAATCAGCTATTGATCGTTTCTGTTACAAACTAATCGATTGGCTAATCGATTTTTTTTTAACAAAATTCGTTTTTCTTGTGTTAACTTGACTTCTTCTTAGGCTTTTGTCATTGTGAGCTTCCTCTAGGCTTCTAGTGGACTTCAAGAAGAGGTATATTGGACTTCTTTTAGCTCTTATTTGATAAATCCGTTTATTATTTGCAAATTCATAAAACAACCACTATGAACAAGTTTATTTATTCAATAAAATATAGTGATTTTATATATACACACACATATGTGTATATGTACACACACACACACACACACACACAGCCTGATATATATATATATATATATATATTTATATGATATATATATATAATATATGATATTATATAGAAAATGGGTATGCTTCTGGTGTGAGGTGTCATATTTACATCCACTTATTCCAATCTCCAACCACTCCCAAACTCATATGAATGTGGTCGCCTGATTTCAATGAGTGAGAGGAGAATATTGCCACATCACTACTAAGCGAGAAAAATTGTGCTTCGGTACAACATCCGATTTCTCTCTCTCTCTCTCTCTGTCTCTCTCTCTCTCTCTCTATCTCTTCTCTCTCTCTATATAGTATATATATATATATACTATAGTATATATACTATATATATATATATATTATATATATTATTATATATAATTATATATATATATGATATATATATAATATATATGCTATATATATGATATCAGTTAACGAGCGGCATCGCACAAAAATTAGGAAATGATGTTTGATTTTAAGGCCGCTGTCTTTAAGGTGGGAGCCTATGGTGTCACCTTAGATTCACTTTTCCATGATATAATATATATATATATATTATATATATTATATATATTAGCTAGAGAGGAGAGAGAGAGAGAGGAAATATGGGAAAACTGGTACCAAGTTTCTAAATTGACTTGGTAGTTAGGTGGTCAAATCTAGTCCATTGACACTCATGCATTGGAGAGAGAGCCTCATTCAGCTACTTCACCTAATTTAAAAGAGGCTGCCATCTCCAATGCTGATATATGGTCTAAATTTGACACCTTTTAACTAGCCACAGTTCAGATGAAAATAATTGTACGCCAAGTTTCTCATATTTCTCATATAATAATATTATATATATTAATATTATATACTATATTCTATATATATATATATATATTATATAGTATATATATACGTATTACTATATATATATATGGAGAAAATGAGTATGCTTGGTACTAAGCAAAAAATGTTGTGCTGATGAGTGACGAGTGGCATAATCGCTTCCATATTCAAATGATTGCATATCCATTGTACTCATTAACCGCATGTCGAATGTGGTCCCCGCATTTGATGAGTGGGATGGGGTATTGTGCACCTCAGCTACCGATGCACAAATTTGTGCTCTGGACAAGCTACCATATTTCTCTCATCTCTTTATAATATATAGCATTATATATTTATATTATATACACACACATATGATAACTTTGAATTAGAATCTCTTTGAAGCATAATGTTAAGGGTGTTAAATTAGATGGCTACAAATTACGATATATTGACAGTGCAGTTTGTGTATGGAAGTTATTTTACATCCTTTTGTCAACAGTAATTAGTTTGGTTAGATGCCATTTGGCCCATTCTTCTGCGTAAATTTAATGCTTTATTATTAGACAAATTAATCCCTTCTCTTATTAAATAACAGCTCTACCAATTAAAATCATCCACTCTGTTTATATTACTCCTCACAAAGATTTATTAGTTTTCCTAGAGAGCATTTCCTCATCAGATCACAATCATTTAAACCAAAAACTTCACCGTTAATATCATCTATTATCATTTTGTAGTAGTTAGCGGCTCTCATTTAACTTAATTTAATATGCAGCAGAATATGCTACTTCATTAATTTTGCCAACAAAGTATTATTAGTTGCAACATCAATCTCGCTATCAGTCGAATGATGATGTTGTATTTAGAAAAGGATGGAACGTACATTTGACAGCCCAATTATTTAAAGGCTATAGTCCTAAGATCTCATGATAATGGTCTAACCTTCATTAAGTAGTCTGAATGCGGGTGGGTTGTGGGGGGGGGGCAAATTATATAACAGTAGTTCTTATGACACAATAATTAGAGTCAGATTTCATTTTTCTTACAAAACCAAAGGAATAAAAAGAAGAGAAAATAAAGAATAATATGATTAATTGAATTTTAAGAAAAGGATAAACAAATATATTTTTGAAGTAAATTAGACAAGTGTTTGTGTTTTAATAACTCTTTTGATGATTAAAACATATCCATCTTATCCTCACTTTTGTACAAGTAATTCATGGGTGAGAATCAAAATAGAAGGAAACATGAATCACGGGGAGTTTTAAGTCAAAATGTCTACCTCACGTTATGGGTAACATTAATATACTACTAATCTCTATTGTTAACATACACAACAAAAGAATAATGAAAGAAAAACAAAAAGTAAGATAAAAATAAAAATCTATATTTCGACAGCTTATATTGCTCGTCATACATTTAACATTTTCCCCTCCAATTTATCTCAACATAAAAGGACAAGGTCTGTAAGCTACAAGAGAAGAAAGAGTGCCATTTCATTATGTTTCTCTCGGTGTTCAGTTTATTTTTTTTTGTTTAAAAGGTTTCTTCTTCCTTGTTTATCAGAGGTAAAAAAAAGGACACCATAGAAAACTTGGATGAATATGCCAAGAACATAATTTATTCTTACATCTTTTGAGCATAGTTTAGACTCCACGAGCATGAATGCTTCTAAGTATTTTATACTCCACGAACATAGTTCAGGCTCCACGAGCAGAAAACTTGGATGAATATGCAAACAAAAATATATGAGAAGAAATTGCAAAAAAAGAAAAAAAATATACATATAACGGCAAAAATCCCTCCACTTTAGTCAACTTCCCAACCGTTTTTAAATCGGAGATAATTAAACTCTCTTTCACTTTCCCAACCGTTTTAAACCATCTTTTCCCTCCCCTATCTCTCTCTCTCTCTCTCTCTCTCTCTCTCTCTCCTCCCCTTGCACAAAACGGAATACAAGACCCAAAACCAGAGAGAGGAGAGAGAAACTAGAAAAAAAGGGGGTTAGAGAGAGAAACTCATAAATGCGCTGCTCAACAACCACATCTCCCCTCCAATTTAAGACCCCCACCCCCTCCTCCTCTTCTCATTGCAAACCTGAGGCCAGACTTAGGGTTAGGGTTTGGATAAGGCTTCAATGTGGAACTCGGCGGCGGCGGCGGAGGAGGCGGCGTTCTCGCAGGCGAGGGTTTCTGAGGGATTCGGCCGGGGATTGTTCGGAGATCAACGTGTCCGGGCTCAGCGCAGTCGATCGGACCGCGCTTCTTGATCGGTTGCTTGGGGACACTGGCGATTCTGAGGAGTTCTTCCGGCGGATTCGCCGGCGATTTGATGCGTGAGCTTTTCTTTCTTGTGCAAAATGATTTATTTTCGGGGTTTATTTGGCAAATTCTGGATTTTGTGAGAGGAGTAAACTTCTTGAGGTGCTTTTGTGTTAGTTTATTGAATGCAGATGACACATGGAACGTTATAATCTTTCACATTTGTTGTTATTTAAGAAAATGCGCAGTAAATGATACCGGTTTCTAGTTTTATATAGCTTAGTGTCAATAAATTTGGGATACTTTTCATTTTTCATTCTAACCATTATGTATGAAGTGCATTCCTCTCCTATTGCTGCACTTGGTGGATCCATAATTGAGGCTGTGAGTGTAGTTTTTGTCTATTCTCTCTTTCAACTCGATGACTGTTTCTCGTCTTTTGTTTTTTCAGAGTACATCTGGAGTTTCCTACAATTGAGGTCCGATTTCAGAATCTGAAAGTGGATGCCTATGTTCATGTTGGCAGCAGAGCATTACCCACCATCCCTAATTTCATCTTTAATATATCTGAGGTAGGATTAGCTTTTGTTCTGTAAGATTTGTTCTTTAACTCGGTCAATTCTGATCCTTGAGCATATAACCATATACAATCATGTAAGAATGCGTATATTTGATCTATACTAGTCTTTATGATGAGTTGTAGTTGTTGCCTTCATTTATCCTGTTCAGCTACAATTCTCTAATCTTTATTTATTTGTATCCTCAAAGTCCTTGCTGAGGCAATTGAGGATCTTTCGAGGCAAAAGGACAAAGTTGTCAATTCTGGATAACATCAGTGGGATTATTCGGCCTTCGAGGTAATATTGCAATACCAAATACGAGCTTCATCACTGATGATTAATTATAGATTCTTAGTATATAGCATTTGTGCAGAATGACACTGCTTTTAGGCCCTCCAAGTTCGGGAAAGACAACTTTGCTCTTGGCTCTTGCTGGACGCCTTGGTTCTGCTTTGCAGGTTCATGGCCTAAGCTCTAGTAGTCGTTACATTTGAACCACAATTTTTGAAAACGCTGAGGATAAGGGCATAAGTTTCTTTTATTAATTCTGGTTAAACCTGTTTACAGTCTATGTGGTTCCAATCACTACAATTCCCTTTTCTTTTCTTTTCTTTTTTCTTTTATTTGTCTTGGGAATGAGTTAGTGTAAGTAACATTTCCGAAATTAAAGTTTGCAAGGATATATTATTTGACCATTATGCCAATTATGTGTGCATGTGCATTGTCCATATGGATTAATTAGTGGCATGCTGGTGCGGCATGGTTTACATTCTCATTGGGACGTTGCTGTTTCTGTTCATAGTTGTACTTTTCTATATAAATTTCTCATATGAGGTGACTGCTAAGTTATTTTCCATTTACGTTCTAATTACTTTTAATGAATGTCCTTTTATGTAGTTAGTCGACGCCAAAAAATCGAGATAACTGCTATGCTGTTGTCCATTGCAATATAGTATGGTCAATATCTTTTCAAAATTTTTATCTCAAGTAATATGTTTTTAGTTTGATACAGATGTCAGGGAAGATTACATACAACGGCCACGGTTTAAATGAGTTTGTTCCACAAAGAACATCAGCTTATGTCAGTCAGCAAGATTGGCATGCTGGAGAAATGACAGTAAGAGAAACTCTGGAATTTTCAGGTCGTTGTCAAGGTGTTGGAATAAAATATGGTAAGTTTAGAACAGCAGTTCTACTCATAGGTTTCTTTATTCAGCTCCTTAGCAAAACGTGAAACTTTCTTCTAGATATGCTTACGGAACTTGCAAGAAGAGAAAAAGATCTTGGAATAAAGCCTGACGAAGATCTTGATATATTTATGAAGGTAACTGGTGATGCATACTGAAATACTGCCTTGTTTGGTGCAGTTGGTCAAATTATGCTTAGTAGTCCTTTTTTTCTTCTTTTTTTTGTGCAGGCAGTATCACTAGAGGGCAAGCAAACTGGCCTTGTAGTGGAGTATATATTGAAGGTATATATTAATATGGTTTAGTTGACACTTTCCTTTATAGATATGCTAAACAGCTACATTTGTGTGCCAAGCATCATCATTATTTCGATTTAAATTCGCTCTGAAGAAAGTTATCTAGCAGTGTATGCAAATCTATGCTTCACAAGGATGTTTAGTAAGGTTATTACAAGTAGGAATTATTTCGATCTAAATTCGCCCTGAAGAAAGTTTCGTACCAGTGTATGCAAACCCATGCTTCACAAGGACGTTTAATAAGGTTATTATAAGTAGGAATTATAGGGCTAGAAATTAGTATGTAATGATGTGAACTTTTCTCCATCAAAGAACCAGATGATGACTTGTCCATCAAGAAAGGGCGACAGTTCTATCTAGGGTTGAGGATGTCATGCTCAGGCTGTCTTGCTTGAAGGGCTTGAGAAAGGAGGTGAAGGCTAATGCTAACATGGATTAAAACTCTAAGCAAGGATCAAACTATTACTCTAAGATGTGTTTTCCAGATGTGATAGGTCTACGACTCTACATGATTCATTATGCCAATCTCACATAATCAGGGAAAAGCTTAATGATTACTATTGTTTATTGATATTTTCTCTCATATTTCTCTAGAAATAAGGAAATTGATTATTACCTAATTAAACTCATTCTCTCTGACCGTCTCCTTTAACAACCTGTGCTATCAGTCTTGTTTTATTAGTCTAGCAGACTTTTATCTTAAAATACATTTCTTTATTGCACTAGGAAACTTATTACATCTGATACATACTAGCTCACTCTTTATATTCCTTCCGTTCTGCCAGTTGAGTGCTAAAGTTTTAAGGTAAGTTAAATATTTGGGGAAGTTTTCTTCAGGATTCCGAGTCACGTCTACACTAAAATTATGAAGCTGCAATCAGAGTCAGGTGTTATAATTTTTATACTCTTAACATTAGTCGTCCTTTTTTGGACCGCAATGGCTATTTTTACAGGGCGAAAACTCTTCATTTATAAAAAATCCTCTTCCTGTTCATGTTTGGTGCATTTGAACCTTAGTTGCCCTGATACCATTTAAAGTCCTTTGCACTATTAACTCTGATGTGGTGATGATGGATGAGGGTTATTATTTTGTACTCTAACAAGTGTAAAAGATTTTTTTATGTCTTTTTTCCCCGCCTCCCCTTACTTGCAGTAGACATTTTTTTGTTGCTTATCTTAGTTTGTCTTTAACTCCATTTTTTGTCAACGTAGTGGAGGCTGGTATTGTAATATTTCATGGGCAAATATATTTAAATTTTAAGGAACCACTGCAAATCATAAGAGGCGCTCCTTTTTGAGTGCACAAATTGCCTCAATAGAAATTCCAAAACCTTGGTATTATCTTGATCAATATTTAGAATCCATGTTGAAGTATTTTCACGGCTCGACAGATAATTTGATGTCTCCTTTCCAGGTAATTTTTTGGGAGCCAATTTCCTATGTTGATTTAAATTACTATTTAATGTTTTATATGTGGTGGTGAAGTCATGACTGAAGCTTATGTATTGTTCATTTCAATTATTGTTTTGTTTCCTTGCAATTATATGGTTATTTCTTAGTTTTTCTGGTTTTGGTAAAATCTGTTGAAAAATAATATGTTAAGTTTTCTGAAGTGTTAAATTTCACATATTAAAGATTTTAGGGCTTGACATCTGTGCTGACACGCTGGTGGGAGATGAGATGATTAAAGGTATCTCAGGAGGTCAAAAGAAGCGCCTTACCACTGGTAAAAGCTGTTATTTGTGTATGCATGTCCATTCTTTCCCCTCAATGTTTAGCACTAGATTCTCCTGCTTTCAGTGCAGAGTTACTGGTAACAGTTTGTGGATTGTTATTTTGAATAATGATTGCAGCCTTTCATCTAACAGGTGAATTACTAGTTGGGCCGGCTAGGGTGTTATTTATGGATGAGATATCAACTGGGCTTGACAGTTCAACTACTTACCAAATAATTAAACATCTTAAAAACTCGACCCATGCCCTTGATGGAACTACAATTATATCCTTGCTCCAACCAGCTCCTGAAACATTTGAGTTATTTGATGATATTATTCTCATATCTGAGGGCCAGATTGTTTATCAGGGACCTCGTGAGGCTGCTATTCACTTCTTTGAAGCCATGGGCTTTAGATGTCCTGAACGGAAAAATGTGGCAGACTTTTTGCAAGAGGTAACTAATCCATTTATTGGTCCTTAAACATTCGGTGGATGTAACTTTTTAGCATTATCACTCATTTCCTCTTATTTTTGTTCCAGGTTACATCTAAGAAAGATCAGAGACAATACTGGTATGCTTATGATTGCCCATACCAATTTATACCAGTGACGAAGTTTGTAGAGGCCTTTGCTTCCTTTCGTGTTGGCAAAAGACTGTCCGAGGAATTGACCGTTCCATACAATAGATGTCACAACCATACTGCAGCTCTCTCATATTCTAGTTACGGTATTAAAAGGTTTGAGCTTCTGAAGGCAAATTTTGATTGGCAGTTGTTACTGATGAAACGGAACTCATTTGTCTACATCTTCAAATTTGTTCAGGTAGTGATGACAAACTTAGCATACTGAGAGGAATTTCAAATTTGAAGTAATTTAGACTTTTTCTGACAGTATACCATATAATATCATTTAGTGCATAATTTATGCAATCCAATGTTTTATATGTCAGATGTCGGGTTCATGTCGGTCGGCCAAAATTCATGTCGGATAGCGGAAATCGGGGATATATCGGAGGACATGAAAAAAATATTGGATTGCCGTATCGGATAGGTTGATATAATATCATAAATGGAATCTTCACATACTTGATAATTATATTGTCTAAACATATGAAAAAGTACATAACTTATTGATGTTAGGATCACTAACCAATTGTAGACACCTGATTCCCGAGTGCATATTGACACCATCCGAGTGCTTGACCTACAAAATATGAAGATGTTGTTAGTAAACATAGAATAGCATATAAGGAATGAAGCAAGTGACATATAAATTATAATATATAGAATGAAAATCACAAGATTCATATCCATAGAGAAACATAAACAAAGCAAGCAGACAACCAAGTTTTCAAAGTTACAAATAGCTCATAATTGTTTAACATCCAAAAGTAATTCCAAAATAACATTGAAACTAAGATGACTATAATCAATCCTCATCAAAACCGCTTTTTCTGAAATTTGGCCGATTTTTCTTGGCCGCAATGACGCCCGACATACCCGATTTTTTCCGACATGTCCCCGACATGACCTCAGAAACGCAATACGCATTAAAATCAAGGATTTCGTTGCGGCCCGCCATATCGGCCGCCATGTCGGACATGGCGGCCGATATTTAAAACATTGATGCAATCCAACTTATATAAGTTTTTTATACACTTCAGACTCCAGCTGAGTTATCTTAACCAGCTTTTCAATTGGATCAGTAAGTCACCTCAATGATCTGGTGTGTCAGACTCGCTGTTAATCTGACAGCGAAATTGATAGTTTGACATGGAAGTCATGCAATTTGTTTTACAGTTTCTCTGCTAAGATATTTGAAACTGTGATTGGTTGTAATGTTGTTCTTTTCTGATGTTTCTAATCTACGGCGCTGTAATCATCATGGTATCATAAGGTAGACATCATCTACACAGTACCTTATGCAAAACTAAGCACTTTGCTGAACCTCTTAGTCTGGTTTTGTTGACTAGAAAGTTATAGAAGGAGTAATAAATATTACAAATCATGAAAAGGTGGTCCTAAGATTATAAGATGTAGCGTTCAAGAAGTGGATATGAGTCATATGTTACTTCAAGCGTGCAGATGTTTTTACAAGTAGATATGAATGGCTTTTCAAGTGAAATCTGGAAATGCAATTATTTACATCATAGTCAATTATATAGGAGCTTTTTTTTATGTGTCACATTTTTATCCATAAAGGGCCTATTTTACTTAACTTTTCATGTCTCTCAAGGTGCTGCTGTAAATTGATCATAGGTTTCATTGTTTGAGACTGAGTTTTTCAGACAATAAGTATTCTAATGTTACTGTTTGTCATGGTTGCAGCTTTTGCTTGTTGCGATTATTACAATGACTGTATTTTTCCGAACCACAATGCATCGTGATACAGTAGATGATGGAATAATCTTTCTCGGGGCGCTATATTTTGCATTAATCATGATTCTTTTCAATGGGTTTACTGAAGTTTCATTGTTAATGACAAAGCTTCCAGTGATTTACAAGCATAGGGACTTGCATTTTTATCCTCCCTGGACATATACACTTCCTTCTTGGATTCTAAGCATTCCATCATCACTTATAGAGACTGCGATATGGGTGGGAGTAACATACTATGCTGTTGGATATGATCCACAGATAACAAGGTAATAAGTTTCTCTGGTTTTTTATTAATACATTCTTAAATTTGGAATTCTCTATAAATAATGTTGTGTTACATGCAGTTTCCTGGGGCATTTCCTTTTACTTTTCATTTTGCACCAGATGTCTTTGGTGCTTTTCCGTGTTATGGCATCATTGGGCAGGAATATGATAGTTTCCAACACCTTTGGATCTTTTGCAATGTTGGTTGTCATGATTCTTGGAGGATTTATCATTTCTAAAGGTCAAATCTTATTCGATTCTCTTTAGTTTCATGCTATTTAAAATTGTTTAAAGGTTTGTGTTTCTTATCTGTATTCGTTTGATTGCTTTATATCGTTTACTTGAAACAGATAGCATCCCAAGATGGTGGATTTGGGGATACTGGATTTCTCCTTTGATGTATGCGCAAAATGCTGTTTCAGTCAATGAGTTTCTGGGTCATTCTTGGGCCAAGGTGAATAAATTTTATCAATTTCTATTTCCCGTTCAATCTTACAGACTCAAAAACTATATTGTTTAGTTTTTTATTTCAGGCATGTCCAATAGGCAGTTAGGTCAAACTTACGTGGTCATTGCTTTAGTAAATTTTCTCAGTGGCATTTTTAAGGAATAAGGTCACTTGGTTTGTTAATGTATCTAACCTGAAACATTACTGTCTTATTAAAAACAGTTCACGTTAATATAGCTTATGGAGTATACATGCTGTAGAATAAATCTTTAGCATGATTTATTTACATAATACTCACTAAGGGCATCTCCAACAGCTTCTCTAAAATTTTCTTCAAAATGGGGAAGCAAAAATCATATTCTCCAAATTATTTTTACACCAACTCTAACAGCTTCCCCATTTTGAAGAATCCCTTTTTTTCTCCAAAAATTTGGAGAATGCTGCAGATTTGGGGAAGCTTCCCCATTTTTTCTTCTCCACCCCTATTTTGGGGAATGAGATGGGGAATCTGTTGGACCAAAAAACCTAACTAAATTCTCTAAAAGTGGGAAATGGGGAAGCTGTTGGAGATGCTCTAGAGGCATCATAAGTTCCAACTCTTGGTTCTTTTCTATGTAGAACATGATGACTTTCATATTTCTGCAGCTAGCTGTACGCAGAAGTTGAGGATTGTTTGGTTGGCTTCTGTTCTCTAATAAGTCTTTAAGATAAATTGGTATCTCTTATCCAAACATGATTGTAGTGAACTGTTTTGTTCAAAGTTAAGCTTTAACAGATGAATTGGTTTTCAAATGTGAATTGGATAAAATTTAGTGGCTTTGTACTGACATGTTTAACTTTTCATATTTCTGTAGCTTCTGTAGGTATCTTTGATTTTCTAAGATTTAAACCATATATTCACCTCTTTCCATTCGCCATACTTAATGGTAAGCTATTAGAATTAGTAAAGGATACTCTAGAATCCAGCATATATACATATGTCACATCTTGAGTTTGTACTAGTAGAACCCTCCATGTTTTGGCTCATACGTAATTAGACTTTTGGTATGTTAGAACAAGTTTCTAATTTTTTGTTACTTCAAGAATGAAATATTTTGATTTAGTTAGAATGCTCTATTCGTAATACTTCATTAGAGCAAAAGATTTCTAATCTGCTTTTACTTTTCTAATTTGCAGAATGTTGAAATGCTAAACATGCCACTTGGACATGTAGTACTGAAAGGATATGGCTTAGTTACTGAAAGATATTGGTACTGGATTGGTGTCTGTGCTGTGTTTGGTTACACTGTCTTATTAAACATTCTATTGACCTTGTTCTTGACTTACCTTAACCGTAAGCTATCATATAAACTTGCCACTATGCTTCAGCTCTTGACAACAGTATTAGTACTGAGGACTGTTTAATTCTTACTATCCAATCTTTATGTTCTACAGCTCTAGGGAGACCACAGGCAGTTATTTCCAAAGAGGAACTGTCAAAGAGGAATGGAAAGAGGAAGGATGATTCTCTTGTTGTTGAGTTAAGGTCTTATTTTAGATCAGATTTATTAACAGGTCAGAAATATTCATGTATTTTTTTAATAAAAAGTAGATCTTCAACTATGTTGCTTGATAGCATGATTATTTGTGGTGATACATCTGATGGTGCAACTACAACATATATGTCCGTCTATGTGTACCTAGATTTGTCAGACTCAGTTAGATTCAGTATACTTCTTTTTCAAAGATAATAATAAATCTGCAAATGGAAAAAAGTGAAGAGATATAATTGATTATGTTGAATGCTGGTATTTCTCAAACGAGAAGAAAGAAAGGAAAATGTTGAATTTGTTTGTCTGAGAAAAGCATAACCTACAAGTATTAACCAGTTCTTGCAATTATGCAACTTCTCTCTCTAAATTGCCACCTATATCACGCGCATTATCAAACATAATCATTCAAAATTATTTTCTAAGTCTTCTTTGTCAAAATAGTATCAGCTGTAGAGCTCAGAAAATCTAATGCAAGATTTAACCGCATTTATAGTTCACTGTCCGCCTCTGTGGTACATACAAATTCCCTGACCAAAGCACCTATGAGGAAGATAGGGTCATACCATTGCTCTTGAGTATGTCATATGTACCCTTCTAAATACATCCTTTTAGTCGTTGGTAGGATAAACAGCATTTGAAAAGCTTTCTGAGGCCAGCTTTGAGGTACACCTCGAGGCATTTTTGAAGGGTGATTGCCTCGTCATTTGAAGGATCACTGGAGTATGTACGTCATGTCCCATGAAGTGCTTAAGCAAATGCTTCAAGATGGGTAGAGGGTTAAAAAAGGATGTTTGACTAAAAACTAAAGAAGTTCCTATTTCTTCATTTTCTTTTCTCCAATCTCATAGATTTTCCCTGTTTATTTTTATTGAAAGTAAAAAAATAAAAGCAATCATCTTATTTAATCCTGTCACAGGTTCGCTTCTTGTGTGAGCTCGTTTTTTGCTATACTTCTTTTGACTTGTTTTCCAACAATTTAATTTTTAGGTTGATTTTTTGTATCTTTACTTGTGAATAGGACTCCTATTCATCTTTAGGAGTCAGCCTCTTCATTTGTGAGCTGTATTCATTTCTTTATGCATTTCATATGTGGACTGCTAAGTCAATATAATAGTTGAGCTCAATTTCCTAGAAAAACTGTAACTTTGAAGCCATGTGACCTAACATGGTGAAGGGGGCAAAGATTGGATAGATGTCTTTTGTATGTAGCTTATAGTTCATTGTAGCTTGTGTCTATACTTGATCTATTTTATTCATATTGTTCAAGACCTGAATCTATCTATTTGTAAATTATTATAACATTATACATTATACACTTACTATATTTATAAAATTTTTAAATTAAATTATAGTTAATTTATTAGACTTACGTATCGCACGTTAAAGCTTCCACCACACTTTATAAAAGGGTTCAACATTTCGCCTTTTGCTTTTGCCTTTTTAAATATTGGTAGATACATCTACCTTCTTGCAACTTGTGCACGAGCGCACATACACACACAAAGGAAAGTTCTGTTGTTTCACATGCCCATAATTTGAGGTTCTGTTGCAGGATCCTATTGGTCCTACCTGTAGAATTATAGATTTTGGTTTAGAATAGCCTACAACAAAACCATATCAACACTGTCCTAGATTTGTATCTAGAACTATGGTTATCTACCCTCGTAGACAATCAAACAATTGTGGTTTACTTTGTCAAACTTATTGGTTTTGCATGGTATTATCAGTCAATAATGATTACAAGGTTGAAGCTTTTTTAAGCTTTTTTTGTTATGTTCAGGATTGCGGTCAGGTAACTGTCCTAAATTTGCTAATATAGTTGTCTTAATTGCCAATTTAGAATTGGTAAAGAACCGATTTAGGGAAATGAAGCCATTTGTGGAAGAGATGAGAGAAAAAGTACTAAAATTCTTGTGTATAGAAATATGATGAGAAGCAAACCAAACTGAGGGAGGAGGCATAGTTCTACTACAAGAAATAACCCAATATTTCACTAATTTGTTTATCAGAACTTAAAAAAAATTCAGAACATATTAACCTTATTTATGCCGGCTTAAGAAGCATGGAAACAGACAAAGGTCATGAATATGAAATAATATGTATATAGATGGCTCATTGCATCCCTAAAAAGTAGGTGCACGGGTCTAGATATAGTACCATTCAACACGATACTGATACTGACATGCTGTATAGGAAGAAGAAAGTGAAATCTTAGCAAAACTCCTATAATTTCTGTTCAAATTACTAAAAATAATATAAAATCTAAAAGTCAAATGGCTCCTATCAGGATACCTTACCTAATTTAAGATTATGGATTACATGTTTGTGTGGTGTTTATCTTCTATTAGCATAAAAATCACAGTCAAAGGATCCTTTTATTTACCTGTGTGACTTTTCTCCATTGTGTCCGACACATGGTTCTTTACAATTTTTAAGAGTTTACACTGGTGTCAGGATGCAATTTTTTGATTTCCTTAAGATTGTGACATCTCAGGAGCTTTCAACACATGCCAGACAAGTCTCAGTGTCGGATATGTGTCTGACATGGCCACGGGACTCACTTCAAAATTTCCTTGCTCCATAGGTACAGGTCCACCAAAGAGTTGTAATTGAATTAAAACTTGAATGATACCAAGATTGAATGGTCAACTTAGTTAATTCCAACTCTGGCTCAAATTCCAATAGAAAGATCTAAAAGTTATTGAGTCCTATCCTACCTACGACGGTATCTGGAACAGGCTTTAACTAAATAGATAATCTCTATCTAATTAAAATTATAATTCTAGATAATTTAGAAAAGCTTTGTGGCTTCAGTAAATTAGCCTGTGATACTCTTCTGAATTATCTTCTTCTTGAAAGTGTGTTCTTGTTAACTTGACAGAAGCAGGAATAGAGACAAAGAATAAGCCCATGAATTTGTAGGTGCAACAAGGAATATGTTTTTCTAGAGTCTAGGCTGGGGTAACGGTAAAAAAAAATTAATTTGAGAAGAGTCTTAGATATGTGATGGTGGATGTTGCTCTTTCTGTTTTCAAACTATCGATGAAGTGCATGTGCAACTAGTTTGGGAAGAGGCGGTGTTGCCTCTATCCATCACTTAAACATTTTAACTTTGATTCACACAAGTAGATCCTGACTTAATTGCATTATATTTGGGTGTTTAAGTCTACTAGCTTGCAGCATAGGATCAAATCTGTCATTGGATATGAGATGAGAAATGTATCCCTTCAAAGATAGATGTCAGAAATCTATGTACACCAATTATAAGAAAATTAGGTTAAAAACAAATGTTAAAAGATGCAAAATTGCATATATTGAATGTGATTTAACTGATCGAGATAGTTGGCTGTTAGGTTTGCTTGGTATGCAGTGTAAGCTTACCAAACAATCAGTTTGAGTTTTTTGTATAGTTGATGCTAAATTTTTGGAGGTATTATAGATTTATATTTTCTATGACAATTTACAAATATACATTCACACTGTTTATCCTACCTTTCCAAGCAATTCATGTATGTGCTGGACACCTTTGAACTTCACCCAAAAGCCCACATGAGGGAGACTGTTAACTATTAGTTCTGATATACATTGCTAGCCCAGAGCTTATAATAAGGTTTTGGAGACATGGGCTACCTAAGACTGATGGTATAGGATGAAACCAAGACCCAGGATGCAAAATATTTCCATTATTAGAATTCCAGTACCTATATGACATTGGCTACTTTGAATTAATTGATGTACTCTTAACAGGTATATGGACATAAAAGTAATTTTAAATATCTAACTCAAGAACTAATGATTGTGCTAGTTTCCATAAGAAGGGTTTGTGAACACCCACATTCCTAGATATGATTTTGATTCGGTATCTTTTAACTGTTATAAATTGCAATGTATAACGTGTTTCTACTTTGGTCACTGCTTCATATCTCTTATGACCTTTTTCTGGCTCAGAAGCAAATGACAAACCACAGCAGGGAATGGTCTTGCCCTTCCAACCTCTTTCCATGTGCTTCAGCGATATTAATTATTACGTGGATGTGCCAGTGGTAGGTCTATGCTGCATTGTCTTTTATGCTTCCATTGTTAAAAAAGCTTTTAAGAATTTCTTCATCCTATCCAGTACTGCTAGCAGGAACTTAAACAGCAAGGGATACTAGAGGATAGGCTGCAATTGCTGGTCAATGTAACTGGGGCATTCAGGCCTGGAGTGCTCACAGCACTTGTTGGAATCAGTGGCGCTGGTAAAACCACTCTCATGGATGTTCTAGCTGGTAGAAAGACTGGAGGGTATATAGAAGGGAGCATAACTATTTCAGGCTACCCAAAAAACCAAGAAACTTTTGCAAGAGTCTCAGGATACTGTGAGCAGACCGATGTTCATTCTCCTTGCCTGACTGTTGCGGAGTCACTATTGTACTCTGCATGGCTTCGTCTAAGCTCTAATGTTGACTTGGACACTCGAAGGGTAACAAAACTCCAAAGATTTTGGTTCACATGCTCCTAATTTTTTTACATTTGTTTCTCTTAAACTAATGCACCATGATCCTTTTGTAGGCTTTTGTGGAAGAGGTGATGGAACTTGTGGAACTCACAACATTGGGTGGTGGTCTTGTTGGTTTACCAGGGGTTAATGGGTTATCTACAGAACAACGCAAAAGGCTGACAATTGCTGTCGAACTTGTTGCCAATCCTTCTATTGTATTTATGGACGAACCCACTTCAGGTTTGGATGCAAGAGCAGCAGCCATTGTGATGAGAGCTGTGAGGAACATTGGGAATACTGGGAGGACAATTGTGTGCACTATTCATCAGCCAAGCATTGACATTTTTGAGTCTTTTGATGAGGTTTTCCTCTTTTCCTAAAAGTTTATTGTCTTTTAAGATGTCATTTAAATATTCTTAATGTGAAAGATGTTCTTGCAGAAGTTTATTGCTTATATCATTGTTCTTTTACATAAGTCGGTTGTTTGATTATCATCTCTCGAACATTATTTCACTTCCATAGGAGGTCATTCTTTTGCTCTATACTGTGTTGCATTATTCTATGCCTCAATAATCTTCAAGCCTCGGACCTATTAGTCTATATCTACTTCTTCGTTGTCAAGTACCTTACTGAGTTTCCCTCTGGAGTTTGCTGTCAATACTGCTCTTTTATTTTTAGTTGCATTTCATTGTTCCTTCACTCTATGTCAACTAATTTCTTGATTATAACATTAGTTTGGCGATTTTCTTGCATGTAGAAATTGAATGATTGGCAGATTAGAGGCCAGTTAAGAATTATCAATACAAATGCCTATGACAGGTTGTGAGTTTTTATTTCTTCTATTTCTTCAGCTTTTGTTCATGAAGCGTGGAGGGAAACTTATATATGCTGGTCCACTAGGCCCTAATTCTTACAAACTAGTCGAATTCTTTGAAGTAAGTTTCTCTTTTTCTTATCATAGATATATAAAAATTCTTCTTATTTGTTGCAGAGATACCTATGCTGTTCTTTCTTACATAAATTACTGTGAATATCTAGGCAATTCCTGGAGTTCCTAAAATCAAGGATGGTTCTAACCCAGCAGCATGGATGCTCGAAGTTACATGCCCAGCAATGGAAGCTCGTCTTGGTGTGGACTTTGCAGAATACTATCGTAATTCTAAATTATTCCGGTACGCGGAGTTATTTAAGCATTGTTAAGGGCTTGTATGCTTCTATTTTCTAATCATGTTTCCTCCACAGACAGAATAAGGACTTGGTTAAAACTTTAAGCAGACCAAACACTGAAGCAAAAGAGCTTACTTTTCCAACCAAGTACTCTCAATCATTTCTTTCCCAATACTTCGCTTGCCTTTGGAAGCAGAATCTGTCATACTGGAGAAATCCTCAATATACAGCTGTCCGTTTCTTCTACACTGTGATAATTTCTTTAATGTTTGGAACAATTTGCTGGAATTTTGGCTCCAAAAGGTAATGTTTAAATTGTAGTGCTTACTTCTTGCCGTAACACTTCAGAGTTCTTAATGGTGCATACGAGTTGTAAAAACTTATATATATATATATATATATATATATATATATTATATATATATATATATATATATATATATATATATATATATATATATATATATATATATGAGATTAATGAGTATCATTATCATAGGAGGGGATTTCCTCCTTGACGCTATGTGGCACAATCCCACCATCCTCATAAAGTAGGAGAGAGAGTGTGAGATGATGGGGATTTATGCCTATTTTATGAGGATGGTGGAGATTGTGCCACATAGCCGACAAGGAGGGAAATCCTCTCCTATGACAAGGATACCCATTAATATATATATATATATATATATATATATATATATATATATATATATATATATATATATATATATATATGAGGAATATGGGTATACTTGGGCCAAGGATCCTTGTAGTGATGTGGACACATCTTGTCCATAATCACACCTTGGAGTTGGTGATGCTCCATCTTCAAGGTGTGATGTATGGACAAGATGTGTCCACATCACTACCAATGATCCTTGGTACCAAGTATATCCATTTTCTCTCTCTCTCTCTCTCTCTCTCTATATATATATTATATATATATATAATATATATATATATATATATATTCAGTCTAGAATTTTATTTGATGCTTCATTAATTTCTACTGTCTGATTAATGTAAATGAATTTAGATATTCTAAACATCATTTAACCAATGAATCCATAATATTCACAAGGAACATTTTCTATCTTTATCTGAAAAAGATGTAGTTTTAATATACTCAATATAATATTTTGATTGTGCACTGAACTTCATTAAATTTTAGTAAAAATGAGTACAAGATATCGTTCACAATTAATACAGGATTCTTCTAATAAGGATTCGATTTGACTTGAAAAAATCATAATTTACTTTAAAAAGAGAGAATAAAGCTTTGGGTATTTGATCATTACAAACTCAACAACTATAAATTTTCTTCCTGATTTCTTGTGGGTACACCCGAAACATACATTCCCAGTTAAGACATATGATAGACATGTCTCTTATGCATCAGCAGATTGCTTGCATGTAAATATCCGTATCCAAGAAAATATCAGTATCTGTATCCATTAGGATGCAGATATGCTTGCTAAAATCTATAACCGATAGGATATAGTAATGGGTATGGTTATGTTAAGATTTTTAAATATCGGTTATCGGGGATTTATCGGACGGTCAAAATCCTTATCGGATAGCAAAGATCGGTGATATATTGGGGATAAGTAGTATTAATCGGAGTGATATACTGGATGATGTATATATATAATATAATAACTGAAAAATGTAATCTAACTATGCTTAATGAAATATAAACATACCAAAATGTAATCTAAATTCTCACAAGTAGACAATATTTGTTCAAAGAACAACAAAAATCAACTTAAAAAAACAGAAAACAGCCGCCAGAGACGAAGGCGAGAAGAGAAGAAATGAACCTCAATCTAGCAGTTCGAAGGCGAGAAGAGATGATACTTGTTTGACAGTTCGAGTAAATCCCGCTGTAGTTCGAAGGCGAGGCAAGCAAGGTTCATGGAGATTCACGAAGGTGAGGCGACCGCACGAGGTTCACGAAGTCGAGGCTAGCGACGAGGTTCATGGAGGGCAGGCGAGCGACGAAGTTTAGGGTTTGAAGTTTACAAAGGCTTAGCGACGAAGAGGCATGGAGAACATCCGCCAGAGACGAAGTTTAGGGTTTGAGGTTTCATTTTATTGTGAAAATGGGTAGGGTCAGGTTTAATATCTCAACAATCTAACTAAAACGATTAGGCCGATAAACCCGATAATTTTAGCCTCTGTTATCGGTCGATAATTGCCTTTATTGGCGGTAAATCACCGATAAACTCTCCAAAATAATAACCGATTACAAAATCAACTTATCCTAGCGGAAAGCTTCCAAATCCGATAAATAGGCGATAATATCAGATTATCGGCCGATATTTAAAACAGTGGATTATGTAATGAAATATCCGTATCTATATCCATATCCAAAATATCCAAATATATGTTGGTCATATAGTTGCAGCAGTTTTAATCCTTAGATTAATGTATTTGAGGCTAATTTTGATGATCGAGATATCTAATCTTAGCTTCTCAGTTATAATGAACATATTAATAAACTCGACTGTATCATATGGACTATATATTTTTCATTATTATCTAGTTTTCTCGTAACTATTTTATGTATATCCGCTTATATATCCGCATATATATATCCGTATCCATATACATATACATATCTGATTTTAGCGGATATGGTTATGAATTTTTTACCGAGACATATCCACATCTGTATGCTTATCCGTAATTGATAAGAGGATACAAATATGGTAAATATCATGTCAGAGGCATACCTGAAACGTGCCCTACTTGCATGTGTTGATGTCAGATGTGCACTGGAAGTGAAACAAGGGCATTATATAGCTTGATGTGCAACATAGTTTATATGATCAGAATTTATAAGTCAGATGTGCACTAGAAGTGAAACAAGGGCATATATATCTTGATATGCAACATAGCTTATATGATCAGAATTTATAAAAGATAGATCAGAGTTAATCGAGAATGTTAAGTTGAATTTGAAACTTAGAAAATTGTTTGAAAATACACTGTGCACTTAAGTGTAAACAGGGTATTTCGGGAATCAGATATTCTAAAATAAGCTTTGCAAAATAGCCATATGGTATTCTGTTATGTCTTTTATCCGAAGGTTCTCTAAGCTCTAAAATCTCTGATTTAAACATAAGTGATTGATTTAAAAGATCCTTTTTTGCATCTCCAAACTTGTGCTTTTTATGTTAGTGTTGATTTTATTTGGCTTATAGAATGCTCAAACAGTTGCATAGCATTCTAGAGATTTATCTCTTTATTAGGATCGTGCCTCTAATAATTTTAATTTGTTATTAGACAATTGCAAAAGTTGAAATATGATGTTCCCATAAAAAATGTGGATTGCTCTAGTGGGTCCCTCCCTCAAAATTGTATGTACTTCAAAGCTATAACGGACCTGGTTAATCCTTACCATAAATTTCAAGCGGTCTACTCATCCCTTCTTTTCTTATCTCCTCCCTGTCTTTCAATTGAAGCATGGAACATATTTCTTTACCTGTTCCCTTGCCCTCCAAACACATTTCTTGGTCTTCGGCAGAGGAGTAAGGTAAATGTTGGAGGAAGGAGATTAGCCAGAGCAAAAAAATTCAGGGAGTGAAAGTTGAATAGGAAATAGAGTACAGTAGAAGAAGAGAACAGGAGGGAAGAATAAGAATACGGAATACTGAAAATGCAGATTGTATCTTAGATGAAAAAGATAATGAAAAGATAATGCTAATGGAGTTGAATAGCTTTGCGAAAATAGTCATTTGAAAGCAGGTTCAAAATTCAAATGAAGGGTGTGCTGTAACAGAATATTGAAAAAGCACTTACAGCACCATACGGAGATTAAAGAAATTGTTTGGTTGGGCCAATTGTGGGAGACTTGTGTCAAATTTTAATTTTACGAGGGACAAGTATACTAGAAGGTAGTCTTAGGAACTCGTACAAAATAAACATTATCTCCTTAACTTTGTATATTTAAATTAAATAGAGAGTATTCAGTATCAATTTCAGTATTTGGTTGCTATCCTCATATATCATGTTATTTCTTCTTTGTTCTTTGTTACGAAATCTAATTCATAGTCTTTGGAATTAACAGGGACTCTCAGCAGGATGTCTTCAATGCCATGGGATCCATGTATGCTGCTGTCCTCTTCATTGGAATTACTAACGCCACAGCTGTCCAACCTGTGATGTCAATTGAGAGGTTTGTGTCCTATCGAGAGAGGGCAGCTGGAATGTACTCGGCACTACCATTTGCATTTGCCCAGGTCTGCTCCACTCGTGAAACTTAAGAATGATATTTAATGATTATATATGCTTAAGATTAAGAGTAGCTGAAGGTGAGTTGTATTTTGTGGCCAGGTTTCTATTGAATTCCCTTATGTGCTTGTTCAGACAGTTATCTACGGAACCATATTTTATAGTATGGGCTCGTTCGAATGGACCATTATGAAGTTTGTATGGTATACATTCTTTATGTATTTCACTCTCTTGTACTTCACTTTTTTCGGCATGATGACGACAGCCATCACACCTAATCATAATGTGGCACCAATCATCGCTGCTCCATTCTATACTCTATGGAACCTTTTCTGTGGGTTTATGATTACACGAAAGGTAATAAGCAAAAACGAACAACTGTATACTCTGTTGAAGTTAATTACTCATTGCCCTTATCATGCTAGCGTACAATCTCAATATTAAAAGTTGGGAACCTATTGGCTTCAACGGAAGAAACCACAGACTATATATTACTATATCCATCTCATCCTTCCTGCCTCTGCAATCCATCGTCCCTGCTTTGTACACCTTTCCTGTCATGTTTTTCCCTTTTCTTAGATGTCACATTTTTGTTCATGAAATAATGACCCTTGTATGACCGTCTCTTTGATTGATGTGCAGCTTCCTCTAAACTTATTTAACGGAGCATCACTTAGATACCACAGGCACTTGCAAATCATTTTATGACTTATTTCCAGAATTATGGAATAAATCAAGAGATATGACATCGACTTTAACTGGGTATTATAAGAAAAGGACGGTCACAAACTGTGAGCAGAAAAGTATTAATTATAACAATTTTCCTTAGCACTAGATATGTGTACTTATTGGGGATCTAAGAAAAAGGGATGTGGAAAAAAGTTGGGGAAACAATAAAAGATAGGATAAGAAATGAGAATGTTGTGATATGAGCACAATGTAATACAAGTTAGGACCAGAAATAGCGCTTTTTAAAATTAGTTTCAGTTGATAATTAGTTGAAATGAATTACTTGAGATGGTGGAGAAAGTCATAGGAAACAGAGGCTGATGACTGAGCCCTATAAAAAGTGATGAGTCCTATTGAAAGGGCTTCCATGACTATGGTATACAAAAAGAAACAGGGGCGGATTTAGATTCATGTATTGGGGTGTAGTTGCACCGCCAAAAAGGTCGAAATTGAATATAAGCTCTAAGAATACTAAATAAGTTAGTAGCAAACATAATTAGCCCATTTAAAGTGTATCGAGTGCATGCACATTAGGTACTATAGTTTTAGAATATTATATTTTTATTTTTATACACATGTATTGGGGTGTAGTTGCACCGCCAAAAAGGTCGAAATTGAATATAAGCTCTAAGAATACTAAATAAGTTAGTAGCAAACATAATTAGCCCATTTAAAGTGTATCGAGTGCATGCACATTAGGTACTATAGTTTTAGAATATTATATTTTTATTTTTAAAGATGTAGGTAGGCCGTAAATATAGATATGATGGTTGCTATTTTTACACAGTAAAAATGTTAGGCTGTAAATACAGATACAATGGTTGCTATTTCTGCACAGGTGGTAGCCTTGAGGAAGCTAGAAATAGGATAAATGCAGGTGACACAAAAAATTCGAGATGGTGTTTTCTTTGTTTTTGTTGGAACCAGAAATGTTACCGATGATCCGTAGTATTTCACCATATATAGGGGTACCAGCAGAGCTTTAAGAAATGCTTCTTGAAGTAAGTGTAAAAAGAACAAATAACCTGGCTATTATTGCGTTCATGCTTGTTCCATTATCTCATTCTTCGGTTGGGATTCCTACCAAATGAGTTGCTCTTCTTCCTTGAAAATTTCAGTTAATAAAACCTGTGCAAAACCACCTTCTGCACTTTGAATCTCGGTCCTATATTTAAAAAGCATAGATTCATAGTTCCCCTCGGTAATCTCAAAGTCATCAGTAAACCTGCCATGACTGAAAAAGTACTTTCACATGGTTACACTTTTGCAAACAATTCTACTGATGTTTTGGAGATTCTTTTCGTATTTGAGATTGTTGGGAGATTGGCTTCTTCTGCTGTGCACATTGGCTGACAAAAAGTTGCCTACTTGTTTTGTAGAGAATACCTGGATGGTGGAGATGGTACTACTGGGCCAATCCAGTGTCTTGGAGTCTATATGGCCTTCTGACTTCTCAATTTGGGGACATTGATAAACCCATGGTTCTTTCAGATGGTGTTAACACAAAGACTATAAAAGCATTTCTTGAGGACCACTTCGGTTTCAATCATGAATTCTTGGGTGTTGTAGGAATCATGGTGGTCGGTTTCTGCGTATTATTTGCTGTGATTTTTGCTCTGGCCATCAAAATCCTTAACTTCCAACGAAGATAGAAACGAGAACAGACTTGTATAATTTTTTCAAACAGACACTTGATGTGTTTTGAGCTATGGAGAAGGTCCTGCCGAGAGTAAACTGTATAGTGGCAGCAATTATTCGTAATGAGATTGCCCAGTCCTAAATTAATTCCTTTTTCTTTTTACTAAGAGCTGCAGTTGCCACAGTCCTGTTTGTGTAATTCTGTCCTAAAAAAAGATGTGTACTTGTAGCATACTTTCTCCCCCCCTCTTGAACTCAGTGAAATCTAAAGGCATGAAGATATGTATTATTTTGGGTTTGTATGTACGCACCAAAATATTAAATGAAGTTCTATTGGCATCACATAGTGAAGGAATTGTCATTCTTTTTCTTTACATTCCCTCCTCCGTAGTTGAATGATTCTCACGCAAGGCAAAGTTATGTAATTACACACTTATCCACACATTACAGGCACAATCTTACCTTAAAAGCGTGAATCATGTTCCATGCCTCGCCAATAAAATTTCAGGCACATGATATGCATTCAGCATTGGCATTTGAAGTTTTTATTAACCGATGTTGAATTAGTCTGTTTCATTTTCTGACGTGGGGTTCTGATTGCATTGTTGCCTCCTAGGACATAAAGATGACAAGTACTGCAGCAATGGAACACAATAACCAGGGGAAATGAAATGTAGAATAGATTTCATTTCTCGTTTGATCCACTCAGTTTGTGGCATTTTCTGGAGCCAGCATTTGTTCTTCGAAATCGCTTCTCAGGTCAGCATCACCTGGAGAATTCCCTTATCTAGCTTTCAAGTGTTGATGTTTGTGCATATGCTGTCTCGTTGTCAACATGAAAATGTTGTCTACCATCTATAGATGTGTCTTTCATGTGCTGCGTCATGCCTATTCTTCTCCTATTTTATGTAAATAATGATTTGTTAATTGCCTTTATTCTGCTAGTGAAACTCTCCTTTCCGATATTTGTGTGCATGACTAATTTTGGAATAATGAGGGTTGACTAATCACATCCACATTCAACCGCAATATGAAAAGCATCCAAATTTAACATACTTCCATGTAATTTGTAAAAAAATTTATTAGGAGGTTCAATTAAGTGGTAGAATGATGCATTTTCATTTTGGATTGTATAAGCAATTTTATCATTATCCATCACTTAATATAGTTTATGGCTGATTTAGAAATCCAAACACCTGCAATTTTAAAAGTATTTCTGTGTAGACATATAAAGTTAACCAAGGAAAACTTTTTAACAGATAATCTTCTGTTCTCCTTGTTTGTGAAATCGGGTGCGGTCCCTTATTTAGATTCTTAAAACCATGATCAATTAAAATTTTGATTTGAAGTATTAAACTATTTGCTAGTTAGTTTCATTAATCATCTTTAAACCTTGAATCCTGTACAAATTGCATCATTCTGACCTTAGCCCATTGCCAACCTTCAGGAGATCAGATTTGTATCCTAATATATCATTAACTGATGACACACACACACACACAAAAAGGAAAAAAAGATTTTTTTTTTCTGGATCTGCCACTGAAAAGAAGATGTAGGTAGGCCGTAAATATAGATATGATGGTTGCTATTTTTACACAGTAAAAATGTTAGGCTGTAAATACAGATACAATGGTTGCTATTTCTGCACAGGTGGTAGCCTTGAGGAAGCTAGAAATAGGATAAATGCAGGTGACACAAAAAACACACACACACACACAAAAAGGAAAAAAAGATTTTTTTTTTCTGGATCTGCCACTGAAAAGAAGATGTAGGTAGGCCGTAAATATAGATATGATGGTTGCTATTTTTACACAGTAAAAATGTTAGGCTGTAAATACAGATACAATGGTTGCTATTTCTGCACAGGTGGTAGCCTTGAGGAAGCTAGAAATAGGATAAATGCAGGTGACACAAAAAATTCGAGATGGTGTTTTCTTTGTTTTTGTTGGAACCAGAAATGTTACCGATGATCCGTAGTATTTCACCATATATAGGGGTACCAGCAGAGCTTTAAGAAATGCTTCTTGAAGTAAGTGTAAAAAGAACAAATAACCTGGCTATTATTGCGTTCATGCTTGTTCCATTATCTCATTCTTCGGTTGGGATTCCTACCAAATGAGTTGCTCTTCTTCCTTGAAAATTTCAGTTAATAAAACCTGTGCAAAACCACCTTCTGCACTTTGAATCTCGGTCCTATATTTAAAAAGCATAGATTCATAGTTCCCCTCGGTAATCTCAAAGTCATCAGTAAACCTGCCATGACTGAAAAAGTACTTTCACATGGTTACACTTTTGCAAACAATTCTACTGATGTTTTGGAGATTCTTTTCGTATTTGAGATTGTTGGGAGATTGGCTTCTTCTGCTGTGCACATTGGCTGACAAAAAGTTGCCTACTTGTTTTGTAGAGAATACCTGGATGGTGGAGATGGTACTACTGGGCCAATCCAGTGTCTTGGAGTCTATATGGCCTTCTGACTTCTCAATTTGGGGACATTGATAAACCCATGGTTCTTTCAGATGGTGTTAACACAAAGACTATAAAAGCATTTCTTGAGGACCACTTCGGTTTCAATCATGAATTCTTGGGTGTTGTAGGAATCATGGTGGTCGGTTTCTGCGTATTATTTGCTGTGATTTTTGCTCTGGCCATCAAAATCCTTAACTTCCAACGAAGATAGAAACGAGAACAGACTTGTATAATTTTTTCAAACAGACACTTGATGTGTTTTGAGCTATGGAGAAGGTCCTGCCGAGAGTAAACTGTATAGTGGCAGCAATTATTCGTAATGAGATTGCCCAGTCCTAAATTAATTCCTTTTTCTTTTTACTAAGAGCTGCAGTTGCCACAGTCCTGTTTGTGTAATTCTGTCCTAAAAAAAGATGTGTACTTGTAGCATACTTTCTCCCCCCCTCTTGAACTCAGTGAAATCTAAAGGCATGAAGATATGTATTATTTTGGGTTTGTATGTACGCACCAAAATATTAAATGAAGTTCTATTGGCATCACATAGTGAAGGAATTGTCATTCTTTTTCTTTACATTCCCTCCTCCGTAGTTGAATGATTCTCACGCAAGGCAAAGTTATGTAATTACACACTTATCCACACATTACAGGCACAATCTTACCTTAAAAGCGTGAATCATGTTCCATGCCTCGCCAATAAAATTTCAGGCACATGATATGCATTCAGCATTGGCATTTGAAGTTTTTATTAACCGATGTTGAATTAGTCTGTTTCATTTTCTGACGTGGGGTTCTGATTGCATTGTTGCCTCCTAGGACATAAAGATGACAAGTACTGCAGCAATGGAACACAATAACCAGGGGAAATGAAATGTAGAATAGATTTCATTTCTCGTTTGATCCACTCAGTTTGTGGCATTTTCTGGAGCCAGCATTTGTTCTTCGAAATCGCTTCTCAGGTCAGCATCACCTGGAGAATTCCCTTATCTAGCTTTCAAGTGTTGATGTTTGTGCATATGCTGTCTCGTTGTCAACATGAAAATGTTGTCTACCATCTATAGATGTGTCTTTCATGTGCTGCGTCATGCCTATTCTTCTCCTATTTTATGTAAATAATGATTTGTTAATTGCCTTTATTCTGCTAGTGAAACTCTCCTTTCCGATATTTGTGTGCATGACTAATTTTGGAATAATGAGGGTTGACTAATCACATCCACATTCAACCGCAATATGAAAAGCATCCAAATTTAACATACTTCCATGTAATTTGTAAAAAAATTTATTAGGAGGTTCAATTAAGTGGTAGAATGATGCATTTTCATTTTGGATTGTATAAGCAATTTTATCATTATCCATCACTTAATATAGTTTATGGCTGATTTAGAAATCCAAACACCTGCAATTTTAAAAGTATTTCTGTGTAGACATATAAAGTTAACCAAGGAAAACTTTTTAACAGATAATCTTCTGTTCTCCTTGTTTGTGAAATCGGGTGCGGTCCCTTATTTAGATTCTTAAAACCATGATCAATTAAAATTTTGATTTGAAGTATTAAACTATTTGCTAGTTAGTTTCATTAATCATCTTTAAACCTTGAATCCTGTACAAATTGCATCATTCTGACCTTAGCCCATTGCCAACCTTCAGGAGATCAGATTTGTATCCTAATATATCATTAACTGATGTGGTTTATCCTAGACGATGACCTTCATAACTTAGCGGCATCGCTGATTGACTCTTATGAGCTTTCAATGATAGAGAGTGAAGGATAGAAATACTTTCAAAAGGCTATATAGTTTAAGGAAATCGCTGCAAAATATATCATGAGGGAAGACATCAAGATCATGTCTATGTACTCCCTGAAGACATCAGAATCATGTCTTCACGTCTGCATATTAGAAACAGATAGAGATGAGACAAAATTTTAAATGTTGATGATTAGTTTGAACTTCACAGCGGAGAATCTCTATTTATCATGGTAAGATCTTGAATAATGTGGTTTATCGATATGTAATAGATATTTGGACAAATTTTCAAAATAGACTCATTTAGAAACTTATTTGCAAAAAAAATAACCTATTTTAAAAATATTTACCAAATTCGACACAGTTTCAGCCAATTGGTTGAAACTGAATAGAATTTGATGAAAAAACATCAAAAACTTCACGGAATTTCAAATCCCGTAAAGTTTAAGCCCCTATTAGTAACTTGATTAGGGAAGCCAAAGCTTCACAGGATTTAAAATCCCGTGAAGCTTATAATTTCACAGGATTTCAAGTCCCGTGAAGCTATCGCTCTCTGGAATTTAGCCTGCAATACCACAAGATTTGAAATCCCGTGGAGTTGCAGGTTCCAAAAAACATGCACAGAATGTGTACATGTTTTTTTTATATATGAAAATTTTCACAACAATATACATGAATATTTCCGCCTCATTCACAACAATATACATAAAATTTCCGCCACATTCACAACAATATACACGAATCAAACAATACACACGAAAATCACATATATACTAAATTACAACAATATTCATAAAATTCAACCATGAACCAAACAATACACACGAAAATAACATATATAAACAATAAACGATCCACAAAAGTAACAAATTTGAACAATCTAACCATATCGTTCTTAAAATTCATAATCATACTGTTAAATTTCACATACATCCCAAAAGTCCTCTCCTTCCTCTCCCTCTCTTACCCCTTCCCCTCACTCTTCTCCCGTGTCCCCGCTCCCTCTGTCCATACTGATGAGCCTTGATGATTTGAGTATCTGGTTGTGTATGAGGCTAAGAAGTGCCGGTTCTATCAGCATGCGTTGTGCTATGAGAAGTGTCGGCTCCATCGTCACGCGTCGCCCTTTGACCTGTCCTACGTCTTCACGTGTACATTTGACCAAATTGGCGTGACCTGTCCTCAGGGCCTTCAAACTCGTCGACATGATTTTTATGGAACATGTTTGCTATTCTCTGTTCGATCCTATTGAAGATCTCTAACATCGTCGGATCCTGAATGCCATTGATATGCTCATTTATATCAGCATCAATCTCATCAAAAGCATTGATCTGCGATTTAATCAATATATACATAACTTAGCAAATAATATCTTAATAAAAAAAGAATTGCCGTTTTAATTTAGTTTAAAAACTTACATAATCTCTTTCGATCATGGCACTGGGGATGTAACTATCTATCAGTGGGGGTGGTATGTATCCGGCTGCTGTCTATGGGTCACGTCCTATCCATCTGCGTGTGATATTCCAATACCAACGTATATACGTGGTATAACATCATTTGGAATTCTCTCATTCTGTATAAAATTCCACCTATTATTCCACCTGTCTATGTAGGCCGCAGGAATATGGCACAGCCCGTACGATGCGATGTTATCCGTCGCCTACGATCGATTTTCTCAACAGGATCCGGCACATGCTGAGAGAGAAGAAATTATTGTAATACACGATCTAGGACATGCATCTCTACAATCTCCCAACATATCAACGAGACTCTGACTCTCCACAAAGCAACGCTATCTCGACAGATAGGTACAAGAATATGCATATCGAGATCTTGCGAAGAATAGAGCGTCCATTTGAATTGAAATTTTTTAAAAAACTTTTATCAATATTTACAAAAAATTTAAAATATTCATAATGAATTGAGTTTTATATTTACTAGTTGGTGTTGGAGGCCATCAAGCTCATTTCGGTAAAACTCTATACGTCTAGTCGATGCTTTGTATTTAGAGTACCTCACGTTATACCTATTTGGCATAAAAAATATATGAGAACAGATTCAATATGAATAAAATTTACGCATAATTATACCTGCATCCTAAAGGAAACTGACCTTGTAGATCGTGGTGCACATGCAAAGTAGGTCATCCAATATGAATACATTCTCATGACCAAACCTGAATTAATGTCATGCATCACTTGAATTCTTTATTTTGCATCAAAAAGACCTTGCCTATTTCTCGATAAAGGTATGTCAAGACCACGCTACCCCATGATAGAGTGTCACATATATCAAAATCCTCAAGTAGTGGCAGCCATCATGCATGTACAAGATTCTTGCTCGCATCAGGAAATAACATACACCCTATCATGTGTAACATATAAGCACGAGTGTAATACTGAGTCGTCTCATCCGTGGCATCAACTGGTATATCTCCCATAAATATCGATCGAAGCCACGATAGCTTCATCGCACTACTCCTAAAATCGGGAACCTGCCCAAGAAGCCTCTCACATACTTCAGCCTAATTATGGTCATTGGTGCATGTAACAGTCGGGCCATCAATACGGAGCCTAAGTATGATGGCTACGTCCTAAAGTGTAATGGTACAGTCTCCTATATGCATATGAAAGGTGTTGGTTTCCGGTCTCCACCTCTCAGTCAGTACACTGATAAGGGCCAAGTCAAGCCTAATATACCTCACCGATGAACACTCCTAAAACCCGCCCCGAGCTACTAACTGTAGTACTTAATCATCCTCCATCTCCCAGCCCGAGTGACTCTGAGAATGGTCCACTATGTTGATTTCTGCTACAGGCTGTACATTAATAAAAATTGATAAAATTTATTGAAAAAATTTGAAACTAGCGCCAAAAATAAGGAATATATGTACACCATATTTTACCTGTCCCAAGCCAATCTTGTGTGAACGATGATCTGTCTGAAGGTATAATACATCAGGCTGCATCGGTCTCGGATCCATAATGGATATCTCTAAGATTAAAATATAATATGTTAGATTTTTCAGTTGAATGACTTAATCATATGTATTTTGATGGCCAAAATTAAGTAAAGAATACATCTAGTATAGAAAAGAAAAATAAGAATAGAACATGCATAACGATTGTCACATATTCAAGATTCAAAATAAAATGTTATATATTACAAAAATGATTGTCACATGGGAAAAAGGATTAAAAATAAAAGTTTATATATTACAAAAATTATAAGCTATATATTCCTACAACTGTCTCCGGATAATCAACGCCTAAGCCTAGTTGGACAACTGTTTTTGTTGTGGCTCGTTTGATCGCACCTACTACACTTGTTTTTCCTCATGATTCATTCTCGATCATCATCTATATTATTTCTTATTCCTACAGAACGAGGTCGCCTAGCTGATCTTTTATACAAAGAAGGTAATATCCATGGCCGACCTTGTGTCTAATATCGACTATCATATGATGGATGAAAACACTCTTTGTATGTTTGTTGATAGTTATAAGTTGAAAACCAATCTGCGGCGAATGTATAATGTGAAATCCTCTCACCACCCTGTAGATCCGAGCAAGTCATGACAACATGAGAATAAGGAAGCCATTGTAATTGACGTATATTGCAAGTGCATGTACAAGTTTAATCCACTAGCATATTAACTTTGTAAGAGCGACTTTTTCTATGTGATATTCTCTCAATGACCTCTCATTCATTAAAACTGTATCTAACGACACGAAATGATCGAGCCTGCACAATTTGATCCACTAATATGCCTTCAACCTTTGGCCTCAGCTCTGACGG